CTAAATACTAGTAAATAACATGTTTTCACGAAAATATCGATTAATTATTCAATAAATATTTCTGATTATATCCCAAACGTCTGATCCATTGGAGTTCACGAACCTTAACATTGCATTCAATACGGCACAGTAATAAGCCTGTGATCCCAACCCCCGACTTCAATCCCTATCAACGACTTAATCCTTTAAAAGCAATAGATGTGGAAATGGATATAAAAACAATTGCATTCGTTGTAAATACGTTCATTCATGTTGTGATAGTTATTGTAATAAAGTTTTTCAAAATTATGTTACAAATATCCTAGAGTTAAGAATTTTCATATTCTGAACAATAATTATATGTTTTCTAAAAAATGTATAAATAATATTAATATAAATTTGTAATTCACTGGAAGTAGGAGTTCCCTTAGGATTATCTATTGATTAATATATCATAATATCTTAACGTAAAGTGAGTTTTTTAATGTACCGTTAATACCTGTATAGGCTTTTCGTCGGTAATCCATAATATGTCATAAACACTTGGGATTACGGTATATAAAATTGTTACATAATATACTGTATATCAACAAAAAAGTTTGTGTAATAAAAATTTTATTTATTAAATTCCGTTACAGAATATTCTGATAAAAATCTCTATAAATAGATTTAAATCATTTTTAAACATTTATTTCATTCAACCAATTCAAAATGTTTTATTTGGTGCTGGCATAAATAATTGTACATGTTTACTTGCCTAATAAAATTAGGAACTTGTGTATTAAAAATAAATTTAACAATGTTTGCCTACATACTACTTCCGTACGGAATTAATAATAAATATAACAATCTCCATGATCCTGAACACGTATCTAAAAATAAATATTTCAACAAATATAACATACTATACAACCCTACTGTGCATTACATAATAACCGGCATAGTGGTGGCCACGTTTAGCGGGTTCAGTCTAATATTACTACTAGCCCTGAACCTACACGACCACTACCTGACCACGCTAATAAAACTAATATTCCTGCTACTGTCCACCACGTGTCTCATCTCATACCTACTAATATATAAAAATTCAAAAACAATGTTTGAGTTGAACGATGAGCTAAACGTATTTTATATAAAATACGGGCTAACCCTACGAAACCGGTCAACCCTGGTATATATTGCGATGCATGTGACATGCTACCTGTGCGGTGCCGTATGTGTCTACTACGACAATATAATAGACAAATTTTTCCGAGTCAACTCGGTCAATGTGCTATTTAGTCACCATGCTGCATTAACGCTATTCTACACGTTTGGCTGGATCAATTTAATACAGCACCTATATTTTGAACTATATTATAGATACCTAAGAATACTGGAGTGTATGCTCACCAAAATGCAGACCCTGGTCAAAATGCCCACCGATGAGCACATGTACGACATATCGAGTATAATTAAAAATTTTAAAATTGATGATCACGTGATGTGTATTTTTATAGATAAGTGCATGTATTTTATCATGGTAATTGTTGGTGCGTCCAGTTGTGTCGAGGTCTATTTTGTGTACGAGCTGTACCGTAATGGTAATTATTTTACCAGCTCAATTATTGTATTTATTTGTTTGGTAGTGTTAATATATTGTGTAACTATTCAAATAATTATCAGGCACAAGCGTAAAGTTAAAAGTAAAATTATGTTCACGCTATACTTTTGGAAGTTTTGCCTAAATCAGTATAAATGTAGCAGGCTTATTGGAGTAAGGTATAAGAATAATTAATTAAAATAAAAATAACTGCTTAATTTATATATGATTATTACATAACTTCCTGATATCATACACTATTTACTTTTAATATGTAGATTATTATTATTATTATGTAATATTAAAATTCCTTCATTTTAGGTAAATTAAATTATTTTAAAATTTACCTTATTGATTATCTCATGCATTATAATACAGTAAGGTGATTAATGTTAATATATTTTAATACAAAATAAAATCTAATTATATTTATGACCTAAAAAGATTAGTATTTACATAAAATCTTGTATTTTATGATAGTAACGCTCAAGTATGTTTTAATATTACATAATATATTTACGATATTATAAATATTATGTTTATAATAAATTTATTTATTTGCTCTTAAATAAATATATATTAATTAATTTTTATTTTTGAAATAGCCTATAATTTTAATACTTAACAATGCTCATATTGTACCTTGGCTATACCAGAGGGTTTTCTCAATTTGTTTAATTGAAAATTATATAATACAAAATGAATAAAATATTCATACATGAAAATATACAGTAAAACCTATATACTAATTTTTAAAATAGATTAAATATAGTTACATATTTACATTTAATTTTATTTGTAACAATATTATAATTAACACAAAATTAAGCTATACAAACCTTCTAAAAAATAATTTTTATTTAATGATTTCAGTATTATAATAAATAGCATATTACTTTAAATTGCTATTAAATGTATTGTAATGTATGTTTATTTAGTAATCATATATAAAATACTTTGTCAAAAGGTTTTTGAACTCATAATTCTTTAATCATTGACTGAATAAATGTCTAAAAATATAATTTTTTGTACATAATATTTAGTGTATAATATTGAATCCATATAACTAGTAATAAAAGTCTGTTGTATAACTAAACTAGTGATTTACATTTTTACTAATCACGTATTATTATTTGTGACGAGGTAATATTTTATTAAACATTTTGTATTTTACATATCATGCTTTGTTTTTTTGTAATTTCCTAAAAAATAATTTTATCTTTTTAATTAATGTTTACTATTATTAAATAATCATTTTATTATAGTAAAAATGTTTGACTATTTACTAATTATATACGGTATTGAATGTAAAAATAAAACTATTAAACAAATATTATCAAGTATAATTGTTACCATATTTATTGTAATAATAGTATCTATTATGTATACATTTAAAGATAGCAATTATATCACAAATTATGATCTTATTCATAAAGTTATCAGTCTACTTTTTATTGTAACACTATTTGTATCATACATTTACGTACATATTAGTCCAATAGGTATAACCGAGATCAATCTCGAGTTGAACGAGTTTTGTCAAAAATATAATATACAAAAACATGATGTGTTTGTAACAAGGTACTATATGTTATTGCATTGTTTCATGCAATTATCCAGCACATACATACTATTTAATGACCTACAAATTGACACATTGTATAGGCCATTAGCTGATAATTACATGTTTAAATATCAGCATGCTGCATTGTCCATATTTTATGTAAATGGGTGGCGTATATTCATACAAGTGTTATATTACCAGGTTTATATTAAATATTTAAATGTACTCGAATATTTACAGCTCAAAATTCTGAATATAAATGCTGTATATAAAAGACCTGGCTTATATCAATTATACAACATATCACAAACTATTGAATATTTCAAACAAACTGAAAATGTGTTACAAAATACTGTGTATTGTTTGCAGTATTTTATTTGCATTATCTGTCTATCAGGTAATGCATTGGATTTAATGTTTATGTACTCTGCCCTTGGTCATAATAATTATTTACTAGTTTGTATTTATTTTAGTGGATTTGTGTTATCCATAATATTTACCGTGTATATACATGTTAAGATATTTTGTAAACAGGGTATTAAATATAAAATTATAACACATTTGAAACAATGGCGTGATGACCTAGTTAATGATAATAAGCTTTCATTTTGATAACATTTTAAACTTGTTTAATTTATATTTCTTATATTTATTTATGATTTATACAATTATTTGTTATTATAGTTACTGTAAGTAATTGAAGTGGATAATATTATAAATTATATACACTATTTATGAATTATTAAAATTAAATATTGTGATTTTGTATTGAAGGTAAAATTGTAAAATTAAATGTCTAAACTTTTATATATAATTTGTATATTTAATCATGTGTGTAAAAATATAATTAATTAAAAGTGTTTAATGTAAGTTTTTTTACATTTATTTAAAATTACAATCACTATGTTACATACTTATAAAATTACGTGACATAGTGTATGTCATACACTGTATGACTATCAGTAAAAGTGCACTGACATTCAGTGTAGTAGACAGCAACATTAATAATTCATTAACATGCAGTAATTTAGCTTAATTATATCCTGCTAATGAATTTAAATGGGTTTACCGGGGTCTACGTGATCTATAAGCGATAGAAGTATGATTTTTCCTGACATTTATAAGGATATCTTGTGTGTGTGTATGTGTGAGTGAGTGAGTGAGTGAGTGAGTGAGAGAGAGAGAGAGAGAATATTGGATGAATTGTACATTTGAATTGTTGCAATACCCAGGATCACTTAATTAATATAGCCATTAGTCATACTACATGTCACATTGTATTGTAATGATTACACCGATATTGACTGCAAACTCATAATTACTCGACATTTATAAAAATTGTTATATAAACCAATATTTTCTACACATATATTTCCCACCACATTATATGCTAGCCTATTAGCTTGTTAGGTATTTAAAAAAAACCTAGTGAAAGTATAATATTTAGTGAAAGTAATTGTTAAAAATAATTTTCAATATAAAATGTCACTTTCATTTGTTGCATTGATTTTATTTGGCATAGGTTGTGCGCTATTAGCAACCAGGTACGTTTTATTTTGTTCATACAGTATACTTAAATTTATAATTAAAATAATTATTGTATTTAAAGTTTAAGCGGACATGTTAAGAGAGGTTATATCAAGCTCAAACAACATTCATCGTGAACTTATTAACCAACAAAAATTGATATTGCTCTACATTGCCAATGTAATATAAAATAATATAATTTTTAAATTTTTATATTAACTGTTAATACAAAATTAATTGTTTCTAGTTTAAATTAAATATTTTGTAAATTAACTGTTTATTTGTTATCTATTTATTTGTATCAAAGTTAACAACTAAAAATATAAAATACAATACAATACAATACAACTTGCATAAATAATATTACTATCTTGAAAAAACAGTTAACTTTTAAATCTATCACATTTTATTTATTTTACAGAATAGGCAACAATTTATATACATGTATATATACTGTATTTATTGCCCACTTATGATACAAACTATTTCAAACAATAAATGACATTTGTAATGAATTGCAAATTATTTGCACATTTATTATTAGGAAAATATTATCTGGATTTTGAGATTTAAAATAAATACTCAAAAATCTGGTGTATTATCCACTTTACTTTACACAAGATATGCCACCAGGGTATTTAATCAAGTACACACTATTAATATGCCCAAAGTTTTGCACACAATTTCTTATCACTAAACAAATAGTTTTAAAAATTTTCCCAAAAAAATCATTTACTATATTAATAGTAGGACTACAAGTATATAAGTAGTCAGTTATAATCAGGCTCACTTTCACTCACTATTAGACACGAAAATATTAGTTAGCTATTTGTGACCACAAAATGAATGCTAAATTTATTTTAATCGCTATTTTCTTAATTGTGTTAACCATTATAAGTAAAGCATGTGCTCAAGGTAATTATAATACACTTAACCTTGAAATTAAATAATTAAATTAAATTTGATTTAATAGGTTGGGGACCGGGATATGGAGGGTATGGTGACTACGGCTACGATAGGCCTGACATTGGTTTGTAAATTATGTGCTAGCTTATATTAAAACTTAAAATTATTATAAAATCTATAATTATAATAATAAATAGATTTTTTAAAAAATTAATTAAAAATTATTTATTGAAATGATAGGCCGTTTCGGGTACGGGTCGGGCGGGTTTGGGCGCCACCATCAGCACCGACACCAAAGCCAACGCTTTCAGAGCCAGAGTGAGAGCGCCGGCGGTTTTGGCGGATATGAGCGGAACTATCGCCGACAAGACCAGAGCTACGGGAGCGACGAGTCTGATATGTCCGATGATTACAAATAGGACACTCCCCTCAACATCCCTGTCCACTAACAGTCATATTACACGCTATTTGATAGACAAGTCTTAAAAGATAATTGATTTTCTTGTAATGAAATACTTTTTAAAATTGATTTTATAATAAAACTGTAATTTTATATCACATTAAAACTACTTTTAATAAATGAATTTATTTATATACGTTCGGTTGGATTCATTAATTGCTCATTTTTGTAATAGGTTATTTTTATGTTTTTACTGTAATTATTATTAGCTAGGTACTTTTAATTATAATACTTTAAAAATATTGATATAAAATCTATTTTGTTAAAACTGTAACTTTATTAAACTTTATTTAAACACTGAATTAATGAATACTATTATAAGAATTTGATTATTTGAATCCAGTTCATTTATATTTTAATTTTTAATATATAAATGTTTACTTATTAAATAAAAACACCTTGCATATTTTCAAGAATTAATTTGCCATATAATTTTAAAATTTAATAATTAAATAAACATTTGTTTTCACAAACACTTTAGTCTCGACTGAAAATCATATGATTAGTGAAAAGCAAACTCTTTGTGTGCGCTATCAATGCAAACAAATCACTGGTATGTCCGGCGCCTGTATCTGACATTTATGTGTAAATACAGCTAAAAATATTTCATAGGTTTTCAGTACTGATTGCAAAAGTTTGGGAAAATACTGGACATAACCAGAAGGCTTGCAGTCAAAGGGCTGATAGGAATGGTAGGGC